CCCCTTTAACGACAATCCCCCCCTTTAAAGACCCGCTCCTGTGTATTAATGAAAAGAAATGATTAAGGCAACCCAAACATAAAGATTGAGACTTTCATGTTATGATAATAAATAACATACAGTACTAGACCTTACTCTAACTCTTGAGCTGACTTCTCAGAACTTGCCTTACTTGTTGCAGGTATTTGGCTGTTGCTGCTTTCCTTGTGGCCTCTTTGTGGTTGCCATTTGCTTGTGGTATTCAAAGGTACTTGTAGCTCTCTTCTACATCTCCCTTCTAGCACTGCGATCCCCTCTCTGAATAACATTCCCTCTCCTTTTCACCATCCAGCCATATTTCCCCAGCCCAAAAAACGCTCCGATGTCACTGGTGTTGTGGATCATCGAGTCAATGTCTCATTAACTCCTAGCATACAGATTGATGCCTTCCATTTACAGGAGTGGGCTGATAGTGGCCCCATTCTGAGTCAGTATAAATAGACAGTCTTGTTGATTTTTTGGCTGAGGGGGTTCAGGCCTATATAGAACAGCAGGGGGGCAGAGCATCTCCTTGGTATATTCCATATTTGATGGAGATTTTTGCAAGTTGTTTGAAGTTGGCCTCAAGTGTGGTTTTCCACAGACTCCTGGAGTTTTCAATGAAGGCTCTTAAGGGTGCTGTTGATCTTGTACAGGATCCATGTGTGTGGCATTGAGTTGTAGGCGTTCTTGTAATCAACCCAGCTAGCACAAATGTTTGTTTGCCTGGTTTTACCCTCTCATGTGACTGTTCTGTCAACTAGTAGTTGGTATTTGGATTCTCTGGTGTTTTTATCAATGCCTTTCATTGCCTCTGTCTTGTGAGGATCCACGTGTCCAATTATCTTTGGACACCTGACAAGAGCTTGTGAATGGAACTGATCCCTTCTGGGTTTATTGCATTGTTAGGACTGTCTGGCCCCCGGTCCACCCTTCAAGGTTGGTCATGCTAAATGTTCATGTAGAGAAATCAGCCTCTTTAGGAAGTAAGTATGGATCATGTCTGGGCCTGGTGCTGTAGAGTACTTCACACCGGACAGTCTTTGTTCCTGGTCTGTCCTTTTGATGTGCTTGGATCGTGTTCAGGGAGGTTATCAAGGTCAGCTCTTAGATCCTTTAGCCACTGTGCATCATTTTTATGTGATGCTTCTTTCTCCCAGCTACTTTCCCGGTATTGTTCAGTCTCCAGTCTTGGTGGGTTGGCTCATTGGCTTATTTATTTTCTTTTGTCTTCATTCTGGCTTGTAACATTCTCTTCCATGGAAGACATTGTACTCTATGGACCTTCTTGATTTTACTTTGGCCAAACATCTCAAGGATTATTAATGCTGTACTGTATTTCAGCTCATTAGTGTCTGTGATGGTACTGTACTTAGTGATGTATTCACATCAGCCAACAGGTCACCTAGTAAAACCATAGCTATATTTGCTAGCCGGTGTTGGAGTTTAATGGTTCTCATCTGAACCATGATTTTATTTCTTAGGTCAGTAATTCTCCCATTCAGTTGCTTTTGAATCATGGGTTGAATCAGGTTGATGGTGGTTCCCTCATCTGACCTGTGTTTTTGTTCCCCAGTTAACAGAAATTGTAACTGTTAAAGCAGCTTCTCTTTGTGAATGTTGAAATACTGACCTAATAGGTGTTAAGCTGTTAGTTTAGAATGTGGATATTAAAGTTCCAACATTTTTTTCATTTAACCATGTTGGTCAGGGTTACTGGAGTAGTAGACTTTCAATAGTGCCTTATTATGTTCCTGTGTCCATTGAAATAATCATATAGCAGAATGGTATTTATCTTTCAAAATCCAGAGCCTTTTTAAAATGCAAAAGGAATGCTTCCCTAGATAGCATAATCCGTATTACATTCCTCTTTTGAGTACATTTATTCAAGTTGTCAGGATTCCTGTTTAAAAATGCCATTTGAAAAATAAATTAAACCAAAACACTGGAGTAAGACTAATTTCAACACCACTCTTTTGGTGAAATGAATGAATGCATTGCCCTTTCAAAAAACAGTTTACATTTTCAGAAGCAAACTACTGAGAAAGGGATCTCAGACATTCCTCTTTTATCCGTTTATGCGTTGTTTGTGTTTGTGTTATCCTCTGAACTTTCATCTGGTCTCTTTCAGACCAAGAAAGTGAGTCATCAAATTACAGCTGGTTTCTAAATCATGAAATGCTATTTCACAAAAACAAAAAAAAGAACAAAAATGAAATTATGTTTGAAAACTTTAAAGAAAGTGCTTTTGCTGTAATTTAAGATGGGCTTCACACACTGTTATTTAGATGATTGCATTTCATTTTTCTCATACAGCAACCATGTACTCTGATAAAAGGACACAATGATAGACTGCATTTATTGCAGCCAGCGGTGCAAAGCTCTGTGATTACAAAACTCTGTGATTTCATGTGACTCATATCAGATGTTGAAGCTCAGTCCTGAATGGACAGAGGATGAAACTTGAAATTGATGCAGATGCGGTTGGTGAAACGAAAACCTATGTAAGAGATATTTTATAATTCCATACTGTCTCTTCATCCCAGGTGAATGAAATTTACCACGATGAGTCATTGGGAGTTCATATCAACGTGGTGCTGGTGAGGATGATCATGCTGGGTTATGCCAAGGTGAGTTTTAAAACATATTTGCTGCTCAGTATGTTGCTTTGTCCTAGCTGCTGCAGTTATGTTAAATTAGTCTTTTCTATGGCTTTAAAAGTATAAGTTTATACCTACTCTTACATTAACCGGGCTTAAATGATTGAGAAATGCCATTATGCATGCTTTCACAATCCTAAAAGAGACAAGACCTTTCAGCGTTCAGTGTTTTCTATAGAAAGATCCTGTTAAACCTTTTAAAGTTTTTAAAGTTCATTAAAGTTCATTCAAAAAGAATGAAGAAGAATGAAGACTAACAAACTAGCTTTTAAAATCACTTGTGTTGTCATAAAACGGGACAGATGGACCCAGTATTCAAGGTGAGACAGCCAACAGGAAAGTTCAAAACGTTTATTAGAATAAAACAGAAATAACAGAAGCGCTCTGCTGTGGAACTGCGACTGCAACGACTGCAGGTGCCAGGCGCAACCAATCACTGATTCTGGTTTAACAGTACAGTCCATTCAGGAACAAACAGATCTGGATTCCAGGAATCCCTCAGAGTACGAAGGCAGATTCAGATCTGGATTCCAGATTCAGAGTCCCGTTCGTCGAGCATCCAGCTCAGACAAAAATGCACCTTGTAGGACAGGTTCAGAGTCCCAAGTGTCGAGCATCCAGATCAGACAGAAATGCACCTTGAAATCCAGAACCAGAATCCAGCAGGAGTCCAACAGAGGTTCAGGCAAGCAGATCAGACGGGGACAGACAGGGCCAGTGTGAGAGGGAACGGAATATGTAACAGAGCCCAATATAAGGGAAAGCAGCAGGTAGATGAGATGAGTGATGATTAGGAGCTGGACAGAGTTAAGCAGGTGAAAGACATGAGTAATTATTTCAGCCAAAGAAACCAATCAGTGGATTGCAAAGATTATTGCATAGTGCTCGTTTTCTTAACATTTGACAAAAATAGATTCAAACAATACCTAGGCTGTGTCTGAATGTCCACCCTAATCACTATATAGGGCACCAACAAGTGGCTTGAAAAGAAGTGATCATCCATGGTGACTAGATGTGCACATATTTCCTGTAATGCTTTTCGAGAGCTCTCCTCGCAAAGTATCATGGGACTTGCTGTCACAGCAGCCCGCTTTTGCCATAGACTGTCGCTACCTGACAGCGACGACAATTAAGAAAGATGGCGCCCGCACCATGCAGGGAGGCGGAGTCATGTGACCAACGGAGAGCGAAAAGTGGTGATCATTTCCAGGGCTTAAAGTATTCTGGCCCCAGGCCCCAAGGGCCTGGCCCCAAGTCCGGAAAATTTTGGTATTGAATCCACTCCAATGTTTTTGGTATTAGATTTTCAAAACTCAAATTTAGTCTTAAATCATTCATGCAATGTCTAATCCCATGCCCCCACACACATGCATATATATATATATATATATACACACACACCGTATTTTCATGACTATAAGGCACATATAAACGTCTTTTTTCCCCTCAAAATTTGCGGCGCACCCTTTGGTGCGGTGCGCCCTATGTGTGTTGTTTCTGCGGACTTTTGAGACCACCTCATTGAGGAGATGATGAAAGAGTGGCTGAGGGAGTTGAATGTAAGGAGACCAGGTGGTTTTTTTCCACTCATCACCATTGCTGTTAATCTGTGACTCCATGCGTGCCCATCTCACAGCTGATGTGAAAAACATGGTGAAACAAATGCTGTGCTTGCTGTTAATCAACCGCTCGACATCGGTGTGAACCGGACGCAGCAGGTGCAGCAGAAGCAGCGAGTTTACATGCAAAGTCAATGGTTGACGCGCGTATAGGCGCAGCAAAAGGTCCTGCAGCGCGTTTTGAGCAGCAGGTGCAGCGTGTCGGGAGTGTTTAAGCATCTGACGCAACGCCAACGCGCTGCTGCAGCTCGAGATGGAAAAATTGAAGTTTTGATTGAAGCTGATCTGGGAGCTGACAGCGAGACAGACACATCGCTGATGATACACATATAAGAGCGCTGTGATCGCTCCTCTGAAACAGTTTATTGACGCCTAAATTAACTTAACCTGCTGACAGAATATGTTCGCTTTTATCATCCAGTTTTCAGGTGGATTTTCCCACTTAAAAACATATTAAAACGACTTTATTCCCACTGATCATGGCAAATATAGCTACAAGGCAAAGAAAGGAACGCCACCGTTTGCGGATGGATTGTAGATGCTTGGACTAACGTGTCTGCTGGCACTGTTTTTGGAGCTCATCATTTTTGAGGAGCCGCCCGGCACGGAAAGGGACTCTAACAGCGAAGAAGGGGAAATTGGCATGTCTGATTTAGCGCAGCTGTTTAATTCAGAAACAGTGGATGGTGACTTTGATGGGTTCGATTAATACTTTGTAATAAATACATGAATAAAGCACAATCATACTCAGTTTTGCTCCCGCTCTATTTTTCTACCTGAAAACTTCATTCAACAGCAGCCTCCGGGTTCACCGCGGCTGCTGGTAGGTGTTTTTCATCTAAATAATCTAAAGGATTATAAAAGGATAATAGGATAATAAAAGCGAACATATTCTGTCGGCAGGTTTCAGGATTTTAAGTTAATTTATGTGTTAATAAACTTTTTCAGAGCGGCCAGCTCCCAGGTTTGAATAATACTTTGTAATAAATACACCTTGCTGCTATATTTGCTGTGATCAGTGGGAATAAAGTAGTTTTAATATGTTTTTAAGTGAGAAAGTCCACCTGAAAACTTAATCATTGCAGTCAGTTCATCCAGATTAGAAGATCCTGCCTTCTAATATTATTTCTGTCAGAGGCGCTCAGACCTCCACAGCCTCTGGGTGGCCGCGAGGAGGCAGGCAGCAGGATAATAAAAGCGAACATATTCTGCCGGCAGATTACTGCATTTTGAGTTAATTTATGTGTCAATAAACTGTTTCAGAGGAGTGATCACAGCAATCTGTCATCAGAGCGATGTGTCTGTCTCACGGCCATCTCCCAGGTTTGATTAATACTTTGTAATAAATACATGAATAAATCACAATCATACTCAGTTTTGGGCCCGCTCTATTTTTAAATACGCAGTAGAGGTATTTAAAGGTAGTAGAGGACATGTACCTGTATATAAAACATGCGCCCTATAGTCCGGTGCGCCTTATGTGTGTGTTAAATACAGAAATGGCACACATAACTGAGACTGCGCCTTTTAGTCCGGTGCGCCTTATGGAGTTCAGGCTCAGGATTATTTTATGCTTTAATCCCTGCATTTGTCCGAATGGTCAGTTAACTGAATGAAAACTAAATTAGCAGTTCACACTGTGTAATACCTACATTTGGTATCAAAATTGAAAAAAAATCAAACATCTACCTTTCACATCTTATTCCATCACTTTATGTTAAACACAAATGATAAGAGAAATAATTCATAATAATATTTCACAATGTTCCCTCACAGATATTTTCCACTAACAAACATTCCACTAACAAAGAGTTGAATGTAGTTCTGCTGCCTGTGGGAAACTAGTCTGAGTTGAGAAGTTTTACTTTTTCTTGTCTGTCAGTCCATCAGCCTCATTGAAAGAGGAAACCCATCACGGAGTCTGGAGAATGTTTGCCGCTGGGCTTTTGTGCAGCAGAAAAGCGACCCTGATCATGCTGAACACCACGACCACGCAATTTTCCTCACTCGCCAAGGCTTTGGTCCCACCGGCATGCAGGGTAAGGCCCCAAAGGACTGTGCATGACATGATTCAAATCAGGTTGCATTAGCCCGCAGCCTTTTGTGCTGCACTTTGATACTGATCTAAACACAGGAATGAAAACATCAGGAATAATTCTAGGAAATGCAGTGCCTGACATTTGTGTTTATGAAGGTGAAACATTTTTTTAAGCTTTAAATGTGTATATTTCATATTTCATTCATGAGAAACTTGTTTCAAAATTTTTTTTAAGAAATGTGTGTTTCTCCTGACTGTGTTGCAAATCATACACTTAAAATGAAGATTTAAAATCTTTGGAATCATGTGTAATCAATCTGTGTGATTTCTACTGTCTGAAAGAAGAACATGTTCATTTTTAAAACCATTAACACTTTTCTGTTTCCTATATTGCTGAAAAACTAAATGCTCTGACAAATCGAGTAATTGTGGCACAGAGGTTCACAAAATTTTTTACAAAAAGTCTGGAAATAAAAACAATTAGAGAGACATGAAGACAGACATGTAGTGACTTATGGTATACTTGAATAGGGCTGATCTTTGTAGATGTTTGTGACTGTTTTAACATTCCCCTTTAAAAAAAAAATAGATGTACATTATTTGAAATAAGATGTAAAAATTTTGGATTTGTGCAACATCAGACGATTAAAACCTCAGATTATTCTCATGTTTAGCAGTAGGATATTTAAACTAAATAAATGGCAGGTCAGAGCTCTGGCACGATCTGGGCAGTCATTCATTCAGCTGAGGACCTATAGAGCTGCAATCACAAGCAGTATCCTTTTCTCTATAGCTAATAGGTTTACTCCTGTGCACCACCACAATTGAATGAATGAATAACTTTATTTTACACAATCCAGTAACATTACAAACGTAACATAAATTGTATAAACGGCCCCTGTCCTTGATCTTCAAGTGTTCAAAAGAATAGGCTTTAAATTGCACATGCATTTTTTTTATAGTACATCCAATAAGTGGCCATGTTGGTGGTGATCTACAAAGACTGCTGCACAAATGTTAAGACATGCCAGCCAATTAGGCATTTTACAGAGACAGTACTGTCAGATTGTTTAGGAAAACCAGTTGATAGCATCCAGTCATTGATTTGCAAGACATTACTGTAATTTCCCTCTAGGATTACTAAAGTATGTCTGTATGGAAGTAAATCTGTGTCGCTGGGATTTGAATTAAAAATGCTACTGAAATTTAAATGTTGTATGTTTGTACTTACTGTTTCAGTGTTAAAATATATTCAGAACACATTTTTGACCTAAAAAAAAATTCATTGTCATTATTTCTACACAGATGAAATTTCATTTGTTATTTTCTCTTCAAGCTAAAAAAAAAAAAATCACAGTACTATTTCAAAGTGATCACATTTTCAATACTTATTTTTCAGTTTAATTTTTGGGGGTTAAAATAATCTGCTTATAAAAAAATTCAACCTTTCAAAATTCAAACTCAATATTTTCAGCCTCAGATTCAACTGGCTCTATTTCACCGTCTTAAATTCATTGTAAAAGGGGAAGGTTTACTTCAGGTCACAGACTATTGAGTTTGAATTTTGAAAGGTTGAATTTTTTTATATACAGATTTTTTTTAACACTGAAAAATTTAACTGAAAAAAAGTATTGAAAATGTAATCACTTTGAAATAGTAATGTGAATTTTTAGCTTGAAGACAAAATAAATGATATTTCATGTGTGTAGAAATAATGACAATGAATTTTTTTTTTAGGTCAAAAATGTGTTCTGAATATATTTTAACACTGAAACAGAAAGTACAAACATACAACATTTAAATTTCAGTAGCATTTTTAATTCAAATCCCAGGGACACAGATTTACTTCCATATGTCTGATTCTGATTCTGATGCTCCTCCTGGATTAGCCTTCGGTGACGACTTTCTCTTGCATTGTGTTCTTGATTCTTCACCAGGGACAAGGGTCAGCACCCTCCTCCTTGGAAAATTATGCAAAACATTACATATTGTCAGTCATGTGCAATATTCTTCTCTCACACTGTGCAATAACACACACCAACCACTGTGTAGCCTGTGTAAGTCTTTTTACTTATTTATGGTCAGTGCATCTCTGCTGTACAAGTGCAATAATCCAAGTCAACTATTGTGTAGTCTGTTTAAATATTCAAATACTATATAGTCTTCCCTTCCTATAGTCTTCTCTCCACTGTGCAGATATTTTTATACCTAAGGGAAACATATTCCAGGACTTGTTTCATTTTTTATGCTTTTTTTTGGTACTATATAACCTCTTTCTATATTGTCTGTCTTATTTGTATCTTTAGTGGCATTTTGCTTTGACACTTTGTACTCTATATAAGTTACTGAAACCAGAATTTCCCTGAAGGAGTAATCTCTAGGGATAAATAAAGTTGAGTCTAAAGGGCTGGTTATACTTTCGCAGCAGTGTGTCGCAATGAACTTGTTGCAGATATTTTTGATTTATGCCCAATATTGGAATTGTGGTCTGCGCTATGTTATTCCACGCCACAACACAAGAGTGACAAGAGGGTCAAGAACTAGCTGTGGGTCTAGATACGGCCGAGGTGGTGAGGAAGTGGAAAAATTAAAGGGGCAAATTTGTGCAACAACGGATGGACATGAGGGCGAAAAAGAGCGGGGATCCAGGTGTAAAGGGTCCCAGCATTCTGCAACGGGTCGGGTACCCGCGGGTCCCCGACGGGTCACCCGCTAAAATGCTCTTTTGCGGGTGAAAAATACATAAATAAAAATAAACGGGTACGCGGGGTCGGGCGGATATTTTTTTAGTGCGGGCGGGTAGTTGGTGATTTTATTTTTTTATGCGTGTGTGTTGTTATGGACATCAGAAATGTTATATTAATCAGGCACTGGGGTCACCCTTGTTGTAGCTTAAAGCCCTGCAGGCAGTGTGGGCTTCCCTCCAAAACGGTCACAGTCAGTGCATACTGTACACGTCTGCTGCAGTGTTAATGGCGCTGTTCTGCAGCGCAGCGTACTATAGCCTATTACTTGATGTGTTAACGGGTCGGGTTGCGGGTTAAATATCAACAGGTCGGGTTGGGTTCGGATTTGAATTGAAGATATCAGCTGGTGACGGGTCGGGTTCGGTAGTCATTCTAACAGGTTCGGGCGGGTGCGGGTTGATAAAACTCGACCCGTGCAGGACTCTAGTTCAGGATAACCTAACTATGTAGGATGGGGTACAGTTTAAGAAAGTTTTGAGCCACAATAGGGCCAAAGGGTATAAAGCTTGTCTACCATCCTGTGGGAATTAATTTGTGCTGGCTTGTAGATGTTTTTTCATTAATATTATTCTACAATTCTCATTTTTGACTGTCCAAATATTTTTCAAGCACATAAAATCTCTCTCCATCCTTTGTTATTGCACCAATGCTTCTTTTGTGGCTTCAATGGCCGCAGGCATTTTTGAGTGTCATTTTGAAATTGACTTTCAGAAGTACTAAAAAAGTACCAAGAAAAAACTGCTGCCACTGTTTCATTTTTTGAAATTCACTTTGGATGTAGTAAATGCTTCCATTTGCTTATTCACCATTAGTGAATTAGCAGTTCGGTCATTGCAATATAATCTGCATATTGATGAAGTCACCTACACAAAAAATGGTTTGTACATGCAGTTTGCTAAATTTCAGATCCATTACATTTTGGACCTTGCTGTAAGTGCAGAAACACATTTGTATGTGTTTAAAAAAAAATAAAAATATATATATATATATATATATATATATATATATATATATATATATATATATATATATATATATATATATATATAATCCTTAAAACCAATCATTTTCCTAGATGTTTGTGAAGAATGCAGGATTCAACAGGTAAAAATACAATTTTATAAATATTGATAGGAACTGATGGAAGTGGACAGAACAAATATGTTATAGGATGCATCAGCTTGTAGAAATAGCACTTTAGAATTTTTTTTTTTTTATCTGCTCCATCCATCTGTCCTTAGCCCACTCCTATTTCTTTCTTTTTTGTTAATATTTCCATTCTGGGATGGATTCTCATATCTCTCCTTAAAATGTCTGAGTAATGCTTACCTGGAGCCACAAGAGTGGTTATGCACTAGCACAGCAATGCTGCTGCATTTTAGGGGGGGGGAAATGAAATAGTATGAGCCATGGACCATCTGGCTTGATCCACCAGCTGTTCTGGGGTCCTTCCAAACCTCCCTATGGTCACCCTGGCCCTGCCTTAGTTGTCTGTTGGCTTTCTGCTGGAAGAAGTGTTCTATGGCATATTGGTTGTGCCACAGACCTGAACGTGCAGTGAGACTCTCTTAAAAGGTGTTTGGCACCCATTCAACTCTGACAAACTCCCCTGTGTAACCCAGCTCTACTCATTAATTTTTTTACACATATTTTTTAAAATGTTTGGCATTTGTTAGAAAACACCATGCATTGGCAAATTTGCCACTGTTACCCTGTTTTTCACAGATGAAAGCATGTTCACACTGAGCACATGTGACAGACTCTGGAGACACTGTGGAGAGCGATCTGCTTTCTGCAACATCAATGGACAGTTTGGCAGTGGGTCAGTAATGGTGTGGGGTGGCATTTCTTTGGAGGGCTGTACAGGAGGGCTGTGCTCACCAGAGGTAGCATGACTGCCATAAGGTACCAAAATGAGATCCGGAGACCCCTTGTAAGATTATATGTAGGTGGGGTTTGCTCTGGCTTCCTCTTAATGAAGGACAATTCTAGACCTCATGTTGCTGGAGTTTGTCAGCAGTTCATGTGGGATGGAGGGATTGAAGCTATGAACTGACCTGAATCTGATTGAGCACATCTGAGGGATCATGTCTTGATCGATCCACCAACATTACCTTGCACCACAGACTGTCCAGGACTTGGCACGTGCTTTAGTCCAGGTCTGGGAGGAGATCCCTCAAGAGACCATCCACCACTTCATCATGAGCTTGCCTAGTTATTCCAGGGAGGTCTTACAGGCACATTCTTTTGTGTG